ACAAGTCTGGACTTCCTAAAACTCTGTACCTCAGAGACCCAGTGACAAGTCGGGACCTCCTCAGATTCTGTACCTCAGAGACCCAGTGACAAGTCAGGACCTCCTCAGATTCTGTACCTCAGAGACCCAGTGACAAGTCAGGACCTCCTCAGATTCTGTACCTCAGAGACCCAGTGACAAGTCTGGACTTCCTAAAACTCTGTACCTCAGAGACCCAGTGACAAGTCAGGACCTCCTCAGATTCTGTACCTCAGAGTCATAGCGACAAGTCTGGACTTCCTAAAACTCTGTACCTCAGAGACCTAGGGACAAGTCTGGATCATCTCAGACTTTGCACCTCAGAGACCCAGTGACAAGTCTGGACCTTCTTAGACTCTGTACCTCAAAGACACAGTGACAAGTCAGGACCTCCTCAGATTCTATACCTCAGAGACCTAGGGACAAGTCAGGACCTCCTCACTGTACCTCAGAGACCCAGTGACAAGTCAGGACCTTCTCAGAATCTGTACCTCAGAGACCTAGGGACAGGTTATTCTCTAATTTCTCTGGAACCTTTTAGAGTTGATGTGAACTATAGTAAAGTGAAAGACAATCACCATTCAGGTGCCGTCTCCGCAGACTGGCTGCAATGGATTTCTAACACTCGCTGTCTTGGTAGTGCACTCTCTCAGACAAGTGTCCGTCAATTTCTAGTTGTTGTACTCCCATATGTATCCTTGTCTACCACTTGCATTATTGTCTTAGACTATACCCTCTAGTGTAGTGTATAAAAGAGTGTTAACGTAAAGGGTCTATTTCACATGGTTGACACATCAGGCATATAGGGCTAGACCTGTATTTTCTTAGCCCAGGCGGTTCTTTCGATTATGTGGTCAATATCAGCCGGCCACCTTCTACCTCCCATGAAACCTGAAACTGTTGAACGTACTCACAAAGTGACAGAAAGAGCTGTGAAACATAGGTAGAGAACAATGAAGAAACCTGAAGTAGCCAAAGGTACTCACAATCTGACATCTGAGTTGATGATAGGCATGTTGGAGATGGACACTCGGTCTTCTGGTCGCACCAGTGTGATGTTAAATGTTGCTTTAATCGCTGGCTCGTCAAAACACGGGAACGCTTTCCTGGCATCTGTTGGCTGGAACTGCGTAGTGGCCACATATCTGGAACAAAAATGAATGAATGAATGAATGAATGAATGAATGAATGAATGAATGAATGAATGAATGAATGAATGAATGAATGAATGAATGATATCTATTGGCTGGAACTGTCATGGCCAGATATCTAGAAGATTAACTTAAATAGTGAGGTAATGAGTTAACCAATCAGTTAATAATTCGATGATTTACTGAGCCTAGATATTTGTAAGATTGACTAAATCAATAAGCTAATGGACGATGAATGAATGATTGCACTAACTAATGAACGATTAAATGAAGGAATGAATGAATGGATAAAGGAAGGAATGAATGGCAGCTGTTATGCTAGAACTAGGTGTTGGGGCCGCACGTATCTGTTTATATCCTGCAGGAAAGTTTATATTTAGTCTATGCTGAATTCATGTATGTCATCTTTTTTTGTTTTTCCTAATCTTCGCGTTTACCATCTGTAAACTCCGGTGGAAAGTTTTGGTTGTTCATCCACTTCTGGACTTTAGACATTTTCCAGAACCTGAGAGTTGCACATCCATTTTACAGATCGAATTATTTGTTTGCAGACTGTTTATTACTTGCTCTCGGGCAGATGTACTCAGACTTCGAAAGAAACCTCCCAATTAGTGCACCCTTAAGACATGCTTGTTGGGAAGGCAGTGGGTCTGTTTTTGTTTTGACCACAATGAGGTCCGGGAACCCACACGGGAAGTCGTTATCTAATTTACACACCTTTATCTCCTCACAAATTGGAAAACCGTTATTTTACAGACATGTGTGGGGAAATGCGTCTACAACGTTACATGGCTGTGTGTGTGCGCGACGTGCGTTCGTGGGTGTAGAATGTTTCTATGTGTGTGTGGGAATGGTCATGTGTATGTGCGCGACGTGCGTTCGTGGATGTAGAATGTTTTTGTGTGTGTGTGGGAATGGTCATGTGTATGTGCGCGACGTGCGTTCGTGGATGTAGAATGTTTCTGTGTGTGTGTGGGAATGGTCATGTGTATGTGCGCGACGTGCGTTCGTGGATGTAGAATGTTTCTGTATGTGTGTGGGAATGGTCATGTGTATGTGCGCGACGTGCGTTCGTGGATGTAGAATGTTTCTGTATGTGTGTGGGAATGGTCATGTGTATGTGCGCGACGTGCGTTCGTGGATGTAGAATGTTTCTGTATGTGTGTGGGAATGGTCATGTGTATGTGCGCGACGTGCGTTCGTGGGTGTAGAATGTTTCTGTATGTGTGTGTGGGAATGGTCACGTGTATGAGCGCGACGTGCGTTCGTGGGTGTAGAATGTTTGTGTGTGTGTGTGTGTGTGTGTGTGGGAATGGTCATATGTGTATGTGTGCGAATGTTTATGTATGTATATGTTTGTATGTGTGCGTGTGGATGTTCATGTGTGAGTATGGTGTTTGTATTTCTTGTGTATACGTGTGCATATTCGACGTTAAGCAATAAAATAGCCAAGAAAATTGAAGCAGTCTCTTTTTACTTTAGAAATAATGTTGAAAATATGGTGGACACAGAAAACAACAAATTATAAAAGATGGAGTATTAAAAGATCACTCACCAAAATCATCAGGGAATCACATATGTAATTTATATGACTTATCAACACAGTGGAGACACATGAGTAGAAAACGGGAAAATAACGTGTTTATTAACTATCCCGGGCGAAGCTAGGAATTTAAATCTAGCAAGGAAATACATCCCGTATATCGTATTTACACACGTATAGACAGCCGTATTTTAATCTACGAAGAACAGGGTACGGCTCAGATTTGAGAGGTCTTAAAATGATGTAAGGTGGAAGTTTGTGTCCGTCAGCAGTGAAACCTGTCATTACGGTACAGCGCCGTTATTCTGCTTCGGAGTGAAGTTCGCACGTGCACTGTTTTTTTCACTGTTGTTTCTGTCAGCATATCGAAGAAAATGCGGTATTCATCTGCGTTTCCAATTGCCCCATGCTGTAGTTGTGTATTCTGTTGTATGTCTTCTTTTGTGTCGTCTGTACTCTGTTGTGTGTCTTTTGTTGGGTGTCTTTTGTTGGGTGCCTTCTGTTCTGTCTCTCTGAAATGCAGTCTCTCCTGACATTTATCGGGGAATTGTAGCGATACTGTTGTCCGCCACTGAAACACGGGGCTTTTCTGTAATGCCATAAAACGCCTTGCACAGCCATAAGTGGCTCTAAATTCACTCTCCGGAGTTCCAGTGATGTCTGATAATTGACGGATTAAAACTTTAACATTTCCAACGACACAGAAAAATCTGGGTTTTTTTTTAACTTATTCCACCCGACTGGCTTCTATCTTCGGGTATTTCAACTTCTTCTCACAAAAAGATTGTCAAGTTTCAATTTTTGTTTAAAAAATATTTTTAATTCCAATCCATTTTCTCAGATTTTTCTTCCAGCTGACTGGTTTCCATTTCTTACACATAGTGCACTACTTGCATCTTAAGTTTACAACTGTAACTTTCTCTTACCCGGCCCATCTTTCACCGCTTACAGATACTTCTGTTTCGTGGTTTCCCGAAGAAATTCTTTTTTTTTTTTTTTAAAGGGGGGGGAGGGGGAAGAGAAGTCCCTAAAATAATTGTCTCAGAAGAAATTCTCAGGGGAGAAAAAAAGTCCCTACAAAAATTGTCTCAGAAAAAAATTATAGGGGGAGGTTGCTCTAAAATGATTGTCTCAGAAAAAAATTATAAGGGAAGGTTGCTATAAAATAATTGTCTCAGAAACTGGATGCGGCCTATACATAGTCTGCGGTCTGCACACACGTAAATACGTGATTGGTGTTTCACAGAACATGGGGGCATTCTCACATGGTCTGGTTGTCCCTCCTGTAGGTGCTGTAGTACAGGCCATGTAAGTCGTTCTTCAGTGGCGAAGTGAAGGACATCTCCACGATGTAGGTTTGTCCCACCTGTGTAAACAAAAAGAATTACACAGTTTTAGTGACGAGTTATCAAAATGGCTAGTCCTGCTGCTTGCAGGCTCATTGGTTATACGTTGGAATCCCCTTAGACAGGTAGATTGTTCCTGTTGACCTTGTTTCCCATGAACTTGGCTTTAAAAAAATCAGTAAACAGAAATGTGATCCGTTCCACCTCTGACTTAAGCCTGAGTGTGAAGAATCTCAGCGCAGTGCACGAACTCCGGAGCACCGGCAAGGATCCTGAAATAGTTTGGGTAGATTTTAAACTCAAGTTTGATTATTTTTTACATGCGCAAAAATACACACGGGCGTCTCTTACTACACAGAGACACAAGGCGGATGCCATGCCTTGAGACCACGCAGCCCGCCGTATATACGTATTTTATAATAAATTATAATATTACCCTTTACACTTTAGGGTCGTGGAGGTTTATCGATAATAGCACTAGCACATTAAACCCACAATTTCTCTATCTCTTCCTGAACAAGTGTATAGTAATTTAGTTCTGTCCATTTTTTGAAACTGCCATTTGAGGTTCTTTTGTCCCTCCCTCTTCTTTGACCACTGTCAAAACAAAAACAAGGCGATCTGCTGCCAAATCTAGGAACAGATGGGATCGAATCAGGCATGTAAAGGGAATTACGTAGCGCAACGCCGAAGCCACAGACGCCGACTCTACAGATTTACATTTTACTGACTTCTAATAAGTAAGAGTCCGTGGCTGTTATCTAATCGGGAACCATGACTCTGGGAGACTGAGGTGCAACTGTCAAGTCTGGTGTAGCCGCCAAGTGTGGTGTAACCGTCAAGTCTGGTGTAACCGTCAAGTCTGGTGTAACCATCAAGTCTGGTGTAACCATCAAGTCTGGTGTAACTATCAAGTCTGGTGTAACCATCAAGTCTGGTGTAATGATCAAGACTGGTGTAACCATCAAGTCTAATGCAACCGTCAAGTTTGGTGTAGCCGCCAAGTCTAGTGTAACCATCAAGTCTGGTGTAACCGTCAAGTCTGGTGTAATCATCAAGTCTGGTGTAACCGTCAAGTGTGGTGTAACCGTCAATTGTGGTGTAACCATCAAGTCTGAGGTAACCGTCAAGTGTGGTGTAACCGTCAAGTGTGGTGTAACCGTCAAGTCTGGTGAAATCATCAAGTCTGGTGTAACCATAAAGTCTGGTGTAATCATCAAGTCTGGTGTAACCATCAAGTCTGGTGTAATCATCAAGTCTGGTGTAACTGTCAAGTCTGGTGTAACCGTCAAGTCTGGTGCAACCGTCAAGTCTGGTGCAACCATCAAGTCTGGTGTAACCATCAAGTCTGGTTCAACAGTCAAGTCTGGTGCAACTGTCGAGTCTGGTGTAATCATCAAGTCTGGTGCAACCATCAAGTCTGGTGCAACCGTCAAGTCTGGTGCAACCGTCAAGTCTGATATAATCATCAAGTCTGGTGTAACCATCAAGTCTGGTGTAACCGTCAAGTGTGTTGTAACTGTCAAGTGTGGTGTAACCGTCAAGTCTGGTGTAACCGTCAAGTCTGGTGCAACCGTCAAGTCTGGTGTAACCGTCAAGTCTGGTGTAATCATCAAGTCTGGTGTAACCGTCAAGTCTGGTGTAATCATCAAGTCTGGTGTAATCATCAAGTCTGGTGTAACCGTAAAGTCTGGTGTAATCATCAAGTCTGGTGTAACCGTAAAGTCTGGTGTAATCATCAAGTCTGGTCTAATCATCAAGTCTGGTGTAACCGTAAAGTCTGGTGTAACCGTCAAGTCTGGTGTAACCGTCAAGTCTGGTGTAATCATCAAGTCTGGTGTAATCATCAAGTCTGGTGCAACCGTCAAGTGTGGTGCAACCGTCAAGTGTGGTGCAACCGTCAAGTCTGGTGTAACCGTCAAGTCTGGTGTAACCGTCAAGTCTGGTGTAACCGTCAAGTCTGGTGTAACCATCAAGTCTGGTGTAACCATCAAGTCTGGTGTAACCGTCAAGTCTGGTGTAACCGTCAAGTCTGGTGCAACCGTCAAGTCTGGTGTAACTGTCAAGTCTGGTGTAACCGTCAAGTCTGGTGTAACTGTCAAGTCTGGTGTAACTGTCAAGTCTGGTGTAACTGTCAAGTCTGGTGTAACCATCAAGTCTGGTGTAATCATCAAGTCTGGTGCAACCGTCAAGTCTGGTGTAATCATCAAGTCTGGTGCAACCGTCAAGTCTGGTGTAATCATCAAGTCTGGTGTAATCATCAAGTCTGGTGTAATCATCAAGTCTGGTGCATTGTCGTTCAGACTGAGGAGTGGGTAGAGACTCTTCTCCCCACCATACACCCAAGTACTAATCCAAGGGAACCGTGTTGCGGACCTTTTCTTTACCACTCCAAGCTCAGGATCTGTAGGACTGATACTGTAACTTGACTTTATTATGTTTGAAGCAGGTCATGATTCAGCATTGTGGTCGTTCTGTTTGTTGTTAAACATGTCATAGTATTTCGAATATATTATTATAATTATTCGATCTTTAGCACATTCTTATTAGGAACCTAACAAAGTTCAGGTCCCTAAAGCTCAATTTCCTAGAATATTTATAAGAAACCAAAATTACTAACACAAACCATCACTACCACACACCATTAATAACAAACACACACACACACACACACACACAATTACTACCACACAATTTCCCTACCTCACACCATCACTTGCCCACACCATCACTACCAAACACCATCACTACCTCACACCATAACTACCACACACCAGACACTCCACACCCACAGACACTCCACACACAGACACTCCACACCTACAGACACTCAACACCTACAGACACTCCACACCTACAGACACTCCACACCTACAGACACTCCACACCTACAGACACTCCACACCCACAGACACTCCACACCTACAGACACTCCACACCTACAGACACTCCACACCTACAGACACTCCACAACCACAGACACTCCACAACCACAGACACTCCACACCTACAGACACTCAACACCTACAGACACTCAACACCTACAGACACTCCACACCCACAGACACTCCACACCTACAGACACTCCACACCTACAGACACTCCACAACCACAGACACTCAACACCTACAGACACTCAACACCTACAGACACTCCACACCTACAGACACTCCACACCTACAGACACTCCACACCTACAGACACTCCACACCTACAGACACTCCACACCTACAGACACTCCACACCTACAGACACTCCACAACCACAGACACTCAACACCTACAGACACTCCACAACCACAGACACTCCACAACCACAGACACTCCACACCCACAGACACTCCACACCTACAGACACTCCACAACCACAGACACTCCACAACCACAGACACTCCACACATACAGACACTCCACACATACAGACACTCCACACCTACAGACACTCCACACCTACAGACACTCACACCTACAGACACTCCACACCTACAGACACTCCACAACCACAGACACTCCACAACCACAGACACTCCACACCTACAGACACTTCACACCTACAGACACTCCACACCTACAGACACTCCACACCTACAGACACTCCACACCTACAGACACTCCACACCTACAGACACTCCACACCTACAGACACTCCACACCTACAGACACTCCACACCTACAGACACTCCACACCTACAGACACTCCACACCTACAGACACTCCACACCTACAGACACTCCACACCTACAGACACTCCACACCTACAGACACTCTACACCTACAGACACTCCACACCTACAGACACTCCACACCTACAGACACTCCACACCTACAGACACTCCACACCTACAGACACTCCACACCTACAGACACTCCACACCTACAGACACTCCACACCTACAGACACTCCACACCTACAGACACTCCACACCTACAGACACTCCACACCTACAGACACTCCACACCTACAGACACTCCACACCTACAGACACTCCACACCTACAGACACTCCACACCTACAGACACTCCACACCTACAGACACTCCACACCTACAGACACTCCACACCTACAGACACTCCACACCTACAGACACTCCACAACCACAGACACTCCACACCCACAGACACTCCACACCTACAGACACTCCACACCTACAGACACTCCACAACCACAGACACTCCACAACCACAGACACTCCACACCCACAGACACTCCACACCCACAGACACTCCACACCCACAGACACTCCACACCCACAGAAACTCCACACCCACAGACACTCCACACCTACAGACACTCCACAACCACAGACACTCCACAACCACAGACACTCCACACCCACAGACACTTTCCACTCACAGACACTTTCCACTCACAGACACTTTACTACCACAGACACTTCACTACCACAGACACTCCACACCCACAGACACAACACACCTACGGACACTCGACACCCACGGACACTCGACACCCACAGACACTCGACACCCACAGTCACTCCACACTTACAGATACTCCATACTCACAGACACGCCACACCCACAGACACGCCACACTCACAGACACTCCATACCCACAGACACTCCATACCCACAGACACTCCACACTCACAGACACTCCATACCCACAGACACTCCACACTCACAGACACTCCACACTCACAGACACGCCACACCCACAGACACGCCACACCCACAGTCACTTCACACTCACAGACACTCCATACTCACAGACACGCCACACCCACAGACACTCCACACTCACAGACACTCTACACTCACAGACACTCTACACTCACAGACACTCCACACCCACAGACACGCCACACCCACAGACACTCCATACCCACAGACACGCCACACTCACAGACACGCCACACTCACAGACACGCCACACCCACAGATACTCCACACCCACAGACACTCCACACTCACAGACACTCTACACTCACAGACACTCCACACCCACAGACACGCCACACCCACAGACACTCCACACCCACAGACACTTCACAACCACAGACTCTCCACACCCACAGATACTCCACACCCACAGATACTCCACACCCACACACTCCACACTCACAGATATTATACACCCACAGACACTCCACACCCACATATAGCTTTGTTTCTAACTTTTCACACTGACACTCTTCTCACACTGTACACCCACCAGCAACTTCTACTATAGGACAACCCCAGCTGTCATCCACTTCATTAAACAACGGTTGCTCCCTCAACCCACTAACAACGTCTACTGTAGGACAACACCAGCTGTCATCCACTTCATTAAACAACTGTTCCTCCCTCAACCCACTAACAACGTCTACTGTAGGACAACACCAGCTGTCATCCACTTCATCAAACAACGGTTGCTCCCTTAACCCACCTGCATGTCCTTGTCCAGTTTGAGAATAAAGAACTGCCTGTCCTTATCTACCTCGGAGGAGACAAACTTAGGATCTCCAGTGGCTGATGGTGTCTCTGGGTAGAACCTGATGGTTGATGTGTTGACAGTGAGTACGTTGACATGTAGAGTGATGTTATCAGTTGCATTGTCACACCTCACCACGATCTTCACGCTGCCCTGTGGAAGGCATCAGTTCCATTGTCATGTCATCGATAAGATGTAAAAGTAAAGTACCATTTTTCCACGCCCTTAGACGTACTGAATATTTGGTGAGAAAGTACCATTTTTCCACGCCCTTAGACGTACTGAATATTTGGTGAGAAAGTACCATTTTTCCACGCCCTTAGACGTACTCAATATTTGGTGAGAAAGGACCACTTTTATAAGCCTTTAGACGTACGGAGAGTTTAGTGAGAAGGGACCACTTTTCCCATCTTCAAGCCTACTGGGCAAATAGTTCTAGACCTACATTCCATAGACAAATTAGCACTCGGTGGGTGATGTGGTCAGCATCACACCGGCGGCCTTTACTTCCCAGGACTGTAACTGATGCCCATTTAAGGTCGGGTCCACCTGGGAGTCAAAGTCATCTTTTAATAAAACTCCAGCTACGTCAGGGGCTGAACCCATATTCTCCCAGTCCACAGGCGTGTGTCTAGCCCCTACACCACGGCAGCTCGAATTGTTATATAGTGTTCTACATTTGGTTTTTAGACTAATCGGCAATTAGTAGGGGATGTGTTCAAGACCACCATGTCCGCCTTTACCTCCCAGGACTTTACCTGGTACCAACAGAAGGCTGGTCTACCTGGAAGCCAATGTCATTTATAAAGAAATTTGACTGGATAGGGGTTTGAACCCCTGCCCTTGGGGCTCAAGGCGAGCGTCTAGGGATAAACCACAGTAGCTTCCTCTGTCAGATATAACAAATGGTAAGGACTGGAAAGAACAATCGATGGGTGTTGATTCTTGTAGGAGGTGCAGAAAGGGTCAGGAACCTGGGCAGAGGACACAAGAGACTCCATGAGTACCAGAGAGTATAAGGGGAAAGTTAGCGAGGGTCGGGGTTTCTTTTAGCCCGGCTGTGATGGGAGCGACGTTCAGTAAAGGACCTGCAACATGATGATGATCGCGTTGAAAGTAAAGGAAATTCCCAGACTCACCCTGAACGTAAAGTTGTCGGGGTTGAGGTCAGACATGTCAGGGAAGAGCTCCACGTCATAGTGCTGGGGGTAGACGGCCGTGGGCAGGCGGACGTCCGTGACTTTGGGTGGTGTGGATGTTGTTGGTGCTCCTGTATTCGACCCAGATGCTGAAGTTGTTGTCCCTGCTGCTGTTGCACTGCCAGTAACTGATGTCGGCGATACTGGAGTGGACGCACCCTGGCATGCTTTGCCTAATGACGGGAGAGATTGAGCGGATCAAAACAGATTGTTATTAACTATGGTAGAGAGAAAGAGAGAGAGAGAGAGAGAGAGAGAGAGAGAGAGAGAGAGAGAGAGAGAGAGAGAGATGGAGAAAGAGAGAGGGGAGTGCGATTCTCGAGAGACAGAGATGTGTGAGATTTAGCCAGTACGGCGTGATTCAAAACATGTGGATCAAAAACTACAATTATCGTCTTGAGATCGTTCTACATCAGACCGTTGGTTAATGCATTATGCACGGTCTAACAACCAAGTGGCATGAAACAAGGATTAGGATGGCAGAAAGTGGTTCTTAATTTATAACGTACCCCAAACACGAAATCCCAGTGGGAAATCCACAGCTGACCTGACAGTCCATTATTTCAATGGGTGGAAGTGTGCTGTTGTGTTATGTGTGTGGGTTTTTTTTTTTTTTTTTTTTTTTTTTTGAGTGTACATTTAGTGTCTTCTAATGCTAACCCTAACCCTAACCCTAAACTTGACTGTAGATAAATCGCGAGAAACTACAACCTGAACACCCTAGAATTTATAGGAAATGTCTCCCGTGACGTTGTCGTGACGTCAGGGGTAAGTTATAAATTAAGTACCCAGAAAGTTAGCTTCCGTGTCGCCTAATCGACCAGATGAACGACACGTTTTTTTTTTTTTTTTACATTCTGGGACCCCATTGGGTGCGTTTGCTGGAAGGTTACCCTTCCCCCCCCCCCCCCCCCCCACCCCCCATTTTCCGCCCTACCCAACTTGTCCTGGAACAAAACTACAGTCCAGGTCCAGAAGTGGACGAACAACCAGAACTTGCCACTGGAGTTTACAGCCGGTGAACGCGCTAAGAAGAATCACACTAAACTTCAAAAGAATAGAAGGTGAATGTTGACCTATTCGTCTCCATGTTTACCAAATAGGTGACCTTGAACAGTGACTGTTGACCTCTTCGTCTCCGTGTTTACTTGATAGGTGACTTTGAAGGGAGACTGTTGACCTCTTCGTCTCCGTGTTTACCAGATAGGTGACTTTGAAGAGAGACTGTTGACCTCTTCGTCTCCATGTTTACCAGATAGATGACTTTGAAGGGTGACTGTTGACCTCTTCGTCTCCATGTTTACCAGATAGGTGACTTTGAAGGGTGACTGTTGACCTCTTCGTCTCCATGTTTACCAGATAGGTGACTTTGAAGGGTGACTGTTGACCTCTTCGTCTCTGTGTTTACCTGATAGGTGACTTTGAAGGGTGACTGTTGACCTCTTCGTCTCCGTGTTTACCAGATAAGTGACTTTGAAGGGAGACTAATGTGAGAGGCCGCTACCTCCATTATATTATTTTATCATCAGTTTCCACAACTGTCGTTAAGTGTCGAGGGCAGTTACAGTCTTGATTTGATTGGTAGCAATGTCTATTATAATTATGTGAAAATGTAAAAAGTCTTTAACGTCATTAATCCATGTTCTCCTAAGGCGACCTCTAGCTTTTACGTTAGATCTGTTCATGTGATCATATGGTGGTAGCTGTTGTGGTTGCATTCTATCGAGATGACCAAACCATTTGATCTGCTGTTGTCATAAGAATTTAGTGCATGGTGTTGTTTCCTCTGACTGTTTCATTGAATAATTTCTCTACCTGTCTTCAATGATTACGTGAACTGCTTTCCTTAGGCACCTCATTTCACACTGTCAATTTTACATAGGCTAGCCTTTGATAGTCTCCACATTTGGAGCTGGTAGCACAGTGTTAGATGAATATGCTGGATGATGTCATTAATGTGCTATTCTATACCAAGCAAACTATACAAGCGTTGCCATTGTTGGACTGAGGCTGGTACATAAATTTTGTCTCTTCACGATTCCGAAATACGATCTATATGAGGACGCTTGCAGACATCTGCTTTCCACTCCAAGCAGGCAAATGTGTATGGCATTGAGCACTTACATTTTAGCGCCCTCTGCAGAAAGGGGTTGTGATCTACGGTAGGCAGACCCAAATATAACCTGGTCCCTGGACAGTTAACATCAAATTGTGGACAGGTCAGTGAACAGTTGACATCAAATTGTGGACAGGTCAGTGGAAAGTTAACATCAAACAGATGACCAGTCTACTGACAGTTGACATCAAACAGATGACCAGTCTATGGACAGTTGACATCAAATAGATGACCAGTCTATGGATAGTTGACATCAAATAGATGACCAGTCTATGGACAGTTGACATCAAATAGATGACCAGTCTATGGACAGTTGACATCAAATTGTGGACAGGTCAGTGGACAGTTGACATCAAACAGATGACCAGTCTATGGACAGTTGACATCAAACAGATGACCAGTCTATGGACAGTTGACATCAAACAGATGACCAGTCTATGGACAGTTGACATCAAATAGATGACCAGTCTATGGACAGTTGACATCAAATAGATGACCAGTCTATGGATAGTTGACATCAAATAGATGACCAGTCTATGGACAGTTGACATCAAATAGATGACCAGTCTATGGACAGTTGACATCAAATAGATGACCAGTCTATGGACAGTTGACATCAAATAGATGACCAGTCTATGGACAGTTGACATCAAACTGACACTAGGTTCTAGGTACAGGTAACATCAAACTGGGAATTTAGTCGGTGGAAAGATAGCACGTTACATCTGTCTGCACACAGCTCATCTCATTGAGCATGGCACGTTACATCTGTCTGCACACAGCTCATCTCATTGAACATGGCACCTTACATCTGTCTGCACACAGCTCATCTCCTTGAACATGGCACCTTACATCTGTCTGCACACAGCTCATCTCATTGAACATGGCACCTTACATCTGTCTGCACACAGCTCATCTCATTGAGCATGGCACCTTACATCTGTCTGCACACAGCTCATCTCATTGAACAAGACACCTTACATCTGTCTGCACACAGCTCATCTCATTGAACAAGACACCTTACATCTGTCTGCACACAGCTCATCTCATTGAACATGGCACCTTACATCTGTCTGCACACAGCTCATCTCATTGAACATGGCACCTTACATCTGTCTGCACACAGCTCATCTCATTGAACATGGCACCTTACATCTGTCTGCACACAGCTCATCTCATTGAACAAGACACCTTACATCTGTCTGCACACAGCTCATCTCATTGAACAAGACACCTTACATCTGTCTGCACACAGCTCATCTCATTGAACAAGACACCTTACATCTGTCTGCACACAGCTCATCTCATTGAACATGGCACTCCTTACATCTGTCTTGCACAGTCTGCAGCAAGCTCATCTCATTGAACATGGCACCTTACATCTGTCTGCACACAGCTCATCTCATTGAACAAGACACCTTACATCTGTCTGCACACAGCTCATCTCATCTGGGGGGGGGGGGGATTGAACAAGACACCTTACATCTGTCTGCACACAGCTCATCTCATTGAACATGTCACCTTACATCTGTCTGCACACAGCTCATCTCATTGAACATGGCACCTTACATCTGTCTGCACACAGCTCATCTCATTGAACAAGACACCTTACTCTGTTTTGCACACAGCTCATCTCATTGAACAAGACACCTTACATCTGTTTGCACACCAGCTCATCTCTCATTGAACATGGCACCTTACATCTGTCTGCACACAGCTCATCTCATTGAACAAGACACCTTACATCTGTCTGCACACAGCTCATCTCATTGAACAAGACACCTTACATCTGTCTGCACACAGCTCATCTCATTGAACATGGCACCTTACATCTGTCTGCACACAGCTCATCTCATTGAACAAGACACCTTACATCTGTTTGCACACAGCTTCATCTCATTGAACATGCCACCTTACATCTGTCCTGCACACAGCTCATCTCATTGAGCATGGGCACCTTACATCTGTCTGCACACAGCTCATCTCATTGAACATACCACCTTACATCTGTCTGCACACAGCTCATCTCCTTGAACATGCCACCTTACATCTGTCTGCACACAGCTTATCTCATTGAACATGGCATCTTACATCTGTCTGCACACAGCTCATCTCATTGAGCATGGCACCTTACATCTGTCTGCACACAGCTCATCTCATTGAACATACCACCTTACATCTGTCTGCACACAGCTCATCTCCTTGAACATGGCACCTTACATCTGTCTGCACACAGCTCATCTCATTGAACATGGCACCTTACATCTGTCTGCACACAGCTCATCTCATTGAACATGGCACCTTACATCTGTCTGCACACAGCTCATCTCATTGAACATGGCACCTTACATCTGTCTGCACACAGCTCATCTCATTGAACATGGCACCTTACATCTGTCTGCACACAGCTCATCTCATTGAACATGGCACCTTACATCTGTCTGCACACAGCTCATCTCATTGAACTAGACACCTTACATCTGTTTGCACACAGCTCATCTCATTGAACAAGACACCTTACATCTGTCTGCACACAGCTCATCTCATTGAACATGGCACCTTACATCTGTCTGCACACAGCTCATCTCATTGAACAAGACACCTTACATCTGTTTGCACACAGCTCATCTCATTGAACATGCCACCTTACATCTGTCTGCACACAGCTCATCTCATTGAGCATGGCACCTTACATCTGTCTGCACACAGCTCATCTCATTGAACATACCACCTTACATCTGTCTGCACACAGCTCATCTCCTTGAACATGGCACCTTACATCTGTCTGCACACAGCTCATCTCATTGAACATGCCACCTTACATCTGTCTGCACAAAGCTCATCTCATTGAACATGGCACCTTACATCTGTCTGCACACAGCTCATCTCATTGAACATGCCACCTTACATCTGTCTGCACAAAGCTCATCTCATTGAACATGGCACCTTACATCTGTCTGCACACAGCTCATCTCATTGAACATGGCACCTTACATCTGTCTGCACACAGCTCATCTCATTGAACATGGCACCTTACATCTGTCTGCACACAGCTCATCTCATTGAACAAATCTGATTTCTGGACGAGGTGAGTGAAACACGTAAACGAACAGTACCTCGTCAGTGGGCACTGGTTCATGCTCAGTCCATATGTCTATAGACTAAACGTATTCGACTGGTGATGTGATCAACATTACATTGGCCGCTTTTCTTTTCATAGTATTTCCTTGTACCTCTTGAGCTGTAAATTATACTAGGGAGACATTTCAGTAGTGAAATTCTGCGTCTACGAGGATTAGAAGAAGCAGTGTCAGTAAGAAGAAACTCTACAGGGGAGCATGTGCAGCAGGAGTCTACCAATCATCAATAGAAGTAATCTCATGTTTCGGCCCACGATCTCCTAGACATTTTCTGATAGTGGGCCCACCTGAGTTCATGAGGCTCAGGGTTGATTTCCTTCTGCTGCACGTATTACTGGATTTTATCAGACAGGGACAAGACGAATTAGTGACTTTGCAAAAGGTACTGTGAGATAAGAAGTCGTTGCGGTAGCATAATTAAAGCAGTCTGCTTACTTGGACGACCGAGTGGCAAGCTTACGATTGGTTTACCGGACACATTTTGGACTTTGTTGGCAGGTGGCAGAGGGACACTCGCTGACAATTCGGACACGATGGAATTTAAGGGATAAGACATTCTTTTCCACTAGACACCCGCACCAGCTCACCGAGGCCCGTCCCCCACGACGTTCCGTTGTGTCCAGAGCCAGCTCGAGGCCCTCTCAGCAACCTCGCCAAATTGTTTAAGCGTTCGTTTGCGTTCATTTCTCCGTAAGCCTAGTTGTTTAATCACATTGTAAAGTGAAGTATAAACGAGACCTCGTGCGCCTACCTCGACGGCAAAGATTCTTACTGTTTCAGAATAATAGACGTACACGACTTTTCTTCATGAATGGGTTAACCAAGTGTCCCCATTCTTTCCTACGCTTGCCTTCACATCAGATTTCAATGTCTTTTCCACAACCGCAGTTTGGAGTCACTGGACCGTGCAACCGATATCTAGGACAATGGTCCGTGTTGTACATCTTCCATTGCTTGTTCTTATTTAAACAACAAGCGAGCATCCGGGATACAGCAATGTGCCAAACAGGTAACAAGATTTGTCGCCACGGCTGCAATTACCGTAAATCACTGCATGAAGTGGACTGAGCTTGATCACCAAAGGACACCTTTATGAGGCCTGTAAGGGGGCCGGTAATTTATTCTTCCTGGAGATATTTGTGGCGCTATTGTTGTTTCATGTTGTTTTACCAGCACATCTATTGTGCTAAATTCCACTGAAGACAGATTTATGCTGGTAAGGAACAATGAAGTGGAATTTATGATAACAAATCTTCTTGACATTTGTTACCCTAATGTTATAAAAACAGAATTTATGCTGTAAATATATTTACTGCCAATGACTTGCGGTTGTTTCAGATTTGTATCTGTTGCTTTACTTGGGCTGGCCGAACGCTGGACTCTCAAGCAGAAGAACCAGGTTTAAATACTTGGTAAAGGTGGTGATTTTTTTCTGTCAGGGGCAAAAAAAAAATTCTCACCTGCACAGTCCGTGGCGACAGCACTAGCCATGCGGCCGTAAATCCTCACCTGCACAGTCGTGGCGACAGCACTAGCCATACGGCCGTAAATCCTCACCTGCACAGTCGTGGCGACAGCACTAGCCATGCGGCCGTAAATCCTCACCTGCACAGTCGTGGCGACAGCACTAGCCATGCGGCCGTAAATCCTCACCTGCACATTCGTGGCGACAGCACTAGCCATGCGGTCGTAAATCCTCAGGTTCAAAGACCACCCCCCCCCCCCCTTCCCCCCAAATCCACGCCTACATGGCAAAAGGCAGTAATTAGCAGTTTGTTTGTTTGTTTTTTGTTTTTTTTTTTCACTTAGGAATAATATGGGCGAACCGAGTGCTTTTTTATTTTTTATTTTTTATTTTATTTTACTTTATCAAATAAGCAAATATCGGAGAATTAGGAATAAGAAGCAGCAACACAATTCATAATCGGTTCATTTTACAGTTAATTACAGGCATTATAAGAGCTGACAGACTCAACTGATTAGGTATAGACAGAGAATGGCAGCTAACAAGAGAAACAGAAACGGCGTACACAGAAGAGTTCACTGGCAGCTAACAAGAGAAACAGAAACGGCGTACACAGAAGAGTTCACTGGCAGCTAACAAGAGAAACAGAAACGGCGTACACAGAAGAGTTCACTGGCAGCTAACAAGAGAAACAGAAACGGCGTACAGAGAAGAGTTCAATGGCAGCTAACAAGAGAAACAGAAACGGCGTACACAGAAAGAGTTCAATGGCAGCTAACAAGAGAAACAGAAACGGCGTACAGAGAAGGAGTTCAATGGCAGCTAACAAGAGACATAGAAACGGCGTACACAGAAGAGTTCAATGGCAGCTAACATGAGAAATAGAAACGGCGTACACAGAAGAGTTCAATGGCAGCTAACAAGAGAAATAGAAATGGCGTACACAGAAGAGTTCAATGGCATCTAACAAGAGAAAAAGAAACGGCGTAAACAGAAAGAGTTCAATGGCAGCTAAAAAGAGAAACAGAAACGGCGTATACAGAAACAGTTCAATGGCATCTAACAAGAGAAAAAGAAACGGCGTACACAAAAAGAGTTCAATGACAGCTAACAAGAGAAACAGAAACAGCGTAAAGAGAAGGAGTTCAATGGCAGCTAACAAGAGAAACAGAAACGGCGTACACAGAAGAGTTCAATGGCAGCTAACAAGAGACACAGAAACGGCATACACAGAAGAGTTCAATGGCAGTTAACAAGAGAAATAGAAACGGCGTACACAGAAGAGTTTAATGGCAGCTAACAAGAGACACAGAAACGGCATACACAGAAGAGTTCAATGGCAGTTAACAAGAGAAACAGAAACGGCGTACACAGAAAGAGTTCAATGGCAGCTAACAAGAGAAACAGAAACGGCGTACAGAGAAGGAGTTCAATGGCAGCTAACAAGAGACATAGAAACGGCGTACACAGAAGAGTTCAATGGCAGCTAACATGAGAAATAGAAACGGCGTACACAGAAGAGTTCAATGGCAGCTAACAAGAGAAATAGAAATGGCGTACACAGAAGAGTTCAATGGCATCTAACAAGAGAAAAAGAAACGGCGTAAACAGAAAGAGTTCAATGGCAGCTAAAAAGAGAAACAGAAACGGCGTATACAGAAACAGTTCAATGGCATCTAACAAGAGAAAAAGAAACGGCGTACACAAAAAGAGTTCAATGACAGCTAACAAGAGAAACAGAAACAGCGTACAGAGAAGGAGTTCAATGGCAGCTAACAAGAGAAACAGAAACGGCGTACACAGAAGAGTTCAATGGCAGCTAACAAGAGACACAGAAACGGCATACACAGAAGAGTTCAATGGCAGTTAACAAGAGAAATAGAAACGGCGTACACAGAAGAGTTCAATGGCAGCTAACAAGAGACACAGAAACGGCGTACACAGAAGAGTTCAATGGCAGCTAACAAGAGACACAGAAACGGCATACACAGAAAGAGTTCAATGGCAGCTAACAAGAGAAACAGAAACGGCGTACAGAGAAGGAGCTCAATGGCAGCTAACAAGAGACACAGAAACGGCATACACAGAAGAGTTCAATGGCAGTTAACAAGAGAAATAGAAACGGCGCACACAGAAGTGTTCAATGGCAGCTAACTGTAAGGCAGACCAAGACGAGGTTGAGAAAAGTAATCTACAGGTAGATCTACAAACACGGAGTTATCCACTGGACACAGAAGGCCAATAACAGAGATGCCTAGAGGCGAATGAAATCTGCAGCCCTGAAACTCGTAGTCTCGGAATGTAGAAGAACAAAGAAGAAGAAGACTATTCATCCAATTTTCATTTCATTAATACTAAACAACAAGAACCCGGACAGGCTAACCCGGGCAACAAATGCCTGTAGAAGTCGGATGTTTCGGCTGAAAGGCGCAAATATCGCAGCCATCTTGTTAACGGGCACAACGAATTTACGTCTTCAGATGAAAGTAGAAATAACAAGAAAAGCCGAAAGTCTAACGTAGGCAATATAAACCAGTAATGTTTCGCGCACAACTAATTACTGCTGGACTAGTAATACTGCCTATTAATTAACTCTCTGAGTACCAGAAAATGTTACCAGAAATGACCCTATGTAAACATAACCAATAGGGAAAAACCTCGAGTGTATTGCTGACACGAAGTAATAATTACACTTCATACGTTGTTTGGGACTGAAAGAGTTCATAAATTAGTCACTTTATCACCAAAAGTGGTAGCTTCGTGGTTCCCTGTGTCATTGGTAGTTTTCTTCGTATCGGTCAAACAAAAACAGGTCTTCATACTCACATATTTCTTGATCTCCTGCCCCCGCCTGCGCAATACACTCCTGCTTGATCTGGTCAGCGGAAGGTCTCTCTGGGACCGTGTCTGACCCCATGCAGTGACATACCACATCCCTGTCTCCTCCGGCAAAGTGGACAATGATGCCCACTCCTACAGCAACTACAGCAGCCAGCAACACCAGAACGAAGGCAATTGGCAGGCTGACAAAGCAGCCTCGCCCCCTCCTCGCTGCTGGGGTGAGGTCTGTTTGAGAATCATTCATGTCTGATAGTTCAAATTTGTCCCGCGCCATTAAGGTCCAGAAGACTTCACCGATAGTTTGGCGTCACAGCAGCAGTTAACGATGACTAAAACACTAATGGTTCTGCATAGGAATCTTCCAATGTTGTATATTCCTAGACTTGAATGTACCCAATCTCTCCTCTTATCGGTTGACTAATCTGTGTGTGGCGAAACTCCCTGGGAAAACAGAGACAGAAATGAACCAACGAATGCAAGTGAATGTTGCTGAGTGAGAGTAAATCTGGCAGGAAGATCATTTGGGTATTTAACAAAATCACGTAAAGTGCACTTTATAAAACAGACCCCCCACCTGTCTGCCTGTGTAGAGAGGAGACTCTCCAGGTCGGGACTGACGATTTCATGAGCCGTGACAGATACCTCAGTCATACTGCCACTTGGGCATTTATCTCTGCTTCCTGTCTCTATAAAACATGTATATACAGATTTATCTGTGCCAGCTAACCAACCCTCATTATTGTGTTATTAAAACACGTTCGCACACATTGGAGCGCGCACGCACACACACACACACACACACACACATAGTCCATATAAGCACACATACATACATATGAACACAGGGGCATCCGTGCCAGATAATTGCTACTGCACGAATACTTATATAAACCTTCAACAAAACAGAGCTCCAAGGTGATGGTGGTGGAGGCTTTTGTTTCCCCGACGATGCTAACTGTATGATTAACACCCCAAAGATGGGAATCACACCGGAGCAAATCCCAGAAACCTTGTTCAACCGTATAAAACAGTTATACCAGGGCGCTTGTGACGTAATGTGCAGCCCTACAGTCCGTTTCAAAAGTCGTGGCTCATTTTAAACATCTGTAACACTGTAACCGTTTGTTGTAAGTGTTGAAGTATGCAGTGCAACCTGTTAATTATCATGTTTTTGCCAGACATTTTTTGCAAAGTAAAGAAACATCAAGTTTTCATGTTACCTTATTTGCGGTATACGACAAGAAACAGAAACCGATTCAAAACAGTCAGCTTGCTTACAGTTAACTGAGTAACGGCAACGTTTCAAAACAGTCAGCTTGCTTACAGTTAACTGAGTAACGGCAACGTTTCAAAACAAACGTCAGCTTGCTTACAGTTTACTGAGTAACGGGAACGTTTCAAAACAACAAATTGCATGCGTTTCTTAGACATCTCACTCTCAGGTGTTCATCTCCACATTAACCTCACGCGATTTACGGAATTTTAATTGTATGCGGGATAGGCTATCACAGTAATCACCAGGCGTATGTGTCAGTTACTGTATACTCTATTTTTAGTGGTAGGTGAATTATTTGTCAAATAAAGATTGAAGAAATTCCCCGCTTTAGGAAAAAAAAAAAACAGCACGTGTTCAATTGTAAATGTTTAAATTATAAGGACATGGGAAACCTAAGGTCACATGCAAAAAATTCATTTTGATCCGCACAGGAGTTTTTGAGATATTTTTTAAAGCTTGATGGTACAACTTTTGAAAAGCACTATAATAGACTCAGGGCCTGTCTGTGATCATTCAAGCAGCTGATTGCAGCCCATGGATATTTACAGAAATCGTCCTCTACACAGAAATAAAATGCACTCGGTCACAATACATTAAACATTAAAACCATGTTAAGGATGTTTTATATATATAAACGGTAATCATGATTTAGGAGTGCGGTTATGAGAGTCACACCGTGGAAGAGATTGGGAACTCGTTCAAAAAGACTGGGCCCTATCACGTAATATTCCCAAGCCTAACTCCGGGCACAGTGTAGCCAACCTTCAGTGTGGAGACGGCACAGTTTGTGTTTGTTTCTTCCTGTCAAGGTCGGACAACTGTGAGATGAAAGTCTACAGGTAAGATGGCCTCCTGCCGCTGACCTCATTTTACCTGAGATTATTTTATAAACTCGAACTCTAAACGAGGCCAGCATTGTACTGATACACACGCACACAGACACGCATGCCAACGCGTGAGTGCGCACATACACACACATGCAAACACACATACATTATTCATTGTTCATTTTATAGATCGTCTTCATCGCACATCGGACATGACCATAAGTGCTCCGATCTCCTCTTGAGTTTGTCTCCAACTGTTTTGGGAGCTAACAACTCCCATTCTGTTCTGACTGATATAAAGACGGGCGGCTTCCGAGTGGTTTTACTGTCTCGCTGCTCCAACTGGTACACCCAGGGTATGCAGGGTATGCAGTCTGTTCAGTGAAAACATAATTGTTCGACAAATATTAAATTCTCACAGGGTTTAGTCTCCCATATGGCATTTTATGTCTCTTCTGTCTATACTTAGTCCATTCCTGATAGTTGCACTGCCAGCCAGTACATACACACACACACGCGCGCACACACACGGGCACATACATACATACACACACACACATACACACATACACACATTCATACATACATACACACACATACATACACACATACACACATACATACATACATACATACACACACACATACATACACACATACATACATACATACACACATACACACATACACACATACATACACACATACACACATACACACATAAATACATACATACATGCATACATACATACATACATACACACACACACACACACACACACACAGACAGACAGACAGACAGACAGACAGACAGACAGACAGACAGACAGACAGACAGACAGACAGACAGACAGACAGACAGACAGACAGGCAGGCAGGCAGGCAGGCAGGCAAGCACGCACGCACGCACGCAGGCAGGCAGGCAGGCAGACAGACAGACAGACAGACAGACATATTGTATGTATGTATGTATGTATGTATGTATGTATGTATGCCTTTAAACAGATGCAGTGAGAACAGGACCTTCATTTATGGCAGGCCTTTACGTGTTTTACGTTGCTACAAGGTCAAGCTGCTTTTTGAAGGACAGTCTGCGATCTAACCTCACTCTGCGACAAATCATCGAGTTGGGCTGGCTCTTGATAAAGCTTCCTTGCTTCCTTTTACAGCTGACTAGTCTTTAAGTAAGCCTATTACTGTAGCAAATCAAGAATTGGTATCTGCATTTGAATCCACACCCAGACGATCCTATGTGATCAAGTCCACTCTCCTGACCATCTCTGCCGTGTAGATGCACCAAGGTGGCTTCAGCAGTTGACGGAGTCCTGATACTTCCAAGCCACTGCTGCACAGTTATCAGCACTGTATACACAATAGGCTGACTTGCTAAACCTAGAACAATAGGACCTATCTTTGTGTTCCAGATCCGGGAAGATTGACTTTAACATCTTTCTTGTCTAACTAAAGTCACCGCAGTTGTTGATGTACAATAGAATTCACATTTTGTATGCGTAGGTTACAACATGACAATAGAATATAAATTGTGAATTTGAATCCGATATGGGAGGAAGACACACCATTTCTCATACACAAAAGTATACATATGAATACCAAAGCAAACCTTACACAAACAGTTTTTTTTTTTTTTTTTGCTGCCACATTAAGTGTCAAAATACCGTGGGTTAGAACAACTATCGAAAGGAATATTGTGACAACAGGGAGTGTATGCCTAAGAAGAACAGCTACAGTAATAAAGACAGATACAACATTAAAGGTCGGCGTCTGTCGCTTAGGCGTTGCGAACGCGCTTCGTAGTGCCGGGTTCGATCCCTGCTGCGGACGGTTTGTCCTGCGATGGTTTGAAGAAAAAAAATAATCCGACGATAGTAATTATAATTTATCGTTTGAAGAATTATTTACTGATTTAAAATGTATGTACTGGGAAAAGAACTATTTATTGATTTAAGGATTATTTTACTGCCTAGAAAAATTAAATCCTGGTATGTCAAAGATTGGATTGTAAAACGAATTCACTTACCTGTAAGCCACAGAGCCGTTGCAAATAAAGATAGCCTTTCATGTTTCAAATTAAATTATAAAATTGAAACTTTTCGCTTATGCGACATCTTTCCTTACACGGAAGGTATTTTAAAAATGACAGACAGCGTTGTTTCTCAGAGACTGGATCCTGTATAACATGTTTCTCTGAGACTGGATTGACCCTGTATAACATGTTTCTCAGAGACTTGATGGACCCCGTGTAACATGTTTCTCTGAGACTGGATTGACCCTGTATAACATGTTTCTCTGCATGGTATTACTGATGTGGCCTTCGCTTCTGGCGCCACATTGTCGCGTGCAGATCGTCTTTAGCTTAGCAGCAGCAGAAAGTCTAAATGATGTAACCTCTACACGACTGGGCTAACATTTCTGGTCCGACCGCCAAGACGTGAGGGCTGACAGCACAGGTTGAAGATCACTGATCTAGACATGTCCCGACTTGAGAGAACCAAAACTAAATATTAGAATGTATCAACCTGTCGCTAGTCTACACTACACCCGAGCTGAGAGAATCAAAACTAGATATTAGAATTTAACAACCTGTCTAATACCTATATTTTATGTACCTACTACCTATACTAAAACCATAACGCCCGCCGCCTGAGGTCCGGAAGGTCGTGGGTTTGCGTCCTGACGGAGTCGGACATTTTTTAATGACCTTGACTCCAAGCTCGAACCAGCCTTGAGTGGGTACAAGGTGCAGTTCTGTGAAGCAAAGGCGGCCTGCGTGATACTGACCACATCACCCACCAAGTGCCGATTGGTATATAAAATATAGGTCTAGCCCTATATGCCTAATACGCATAAAGGCGTGGAAAGGTGACCTTGACTTTTTTGAAACCCAAAACCCATAGACTGTAGGTTAGACACGCACCTAAAGGCACCAGACTGAAGTGGTCATGTATTCAGAGAGCCGAGACGAAACGTTATTAGACATGTACACGGCAAGGCGGAACTAATTGTGTTTGGACTTGATCAGCATTGTTCCCATGTATGACTGGTGTCACATCGGTCCGTTACTTACTAACTTGATATCAGCAGTCGGACACTTGATGTGAAACCTGTTTGCAGGCAGTACCGGAAGTTAAGGGTTAATGGCCTGGGTCCCAC